ACGCCCGCGCTACCGCACCGCCGGTCTGCGCGCCTAACAACAACCACGAGCGCTACTTGTCTGCGCTCTGGTTTTTCCTACAGCTGAGTACGAGTTCTGTTACGGTTTCTTTGCATTGGCGCTAGTGCTGCACCTTGAGAATAGCCCGGGCGGAGTATGGAGTCGACACCAGGGTATCACTACCCTTCAGCCATGGTTCCATGTATTTTTGAGCGGGAAATCTCACGCTTTTGCCTCGGACCTATTCCTCTCGCACACGTTAAGGATCGTCTTCGGATGTCAGTGTACAGCCTTTCTTTGACCCAACCTCTTCCGAGTACACCAAGGGTTTTGTTTCTGTACACCTGAGTATCCTTCCAGGTCTCTTGATTGCTACAAATGAATTATTAACTAACTCTGGCCAGTCATGGTCCTTCCGACATCGGATCTCATCGTACACCAGATCAAGGCGGTCTTTTTTCCATCGTACCGAGGTGTCCATATACCAAACCGCTCCAAACTCTTTTAACGTCATCTGAAGAGTATTTACTAGTTACACCTGCGACAGAGAGGAACAAGATTAGTGTTCAGAAAAACAGGCGGGATACAGAACCCCAAGAATGGCGCGTGAAGTGGAATGTGTAAGCTCCGTGAATACGTAATTGGGCAACCATAGGCCAAATTACTCCCCGTTATCGTTAGCCGGGACTCTTGCTCGCTTTCTCAGGATGAGGAAGCTCCAGGGTGAGAAAAGGGGGCGGAAGTGACACTCGTTCCGCCTTCCACCGAGCCAGAGGATGCCTAGGGGAAAACGAGCGAGGCTATGTGCACCCGATGCTCCCACACCCTCAGTTTTACGCGCAATTCAGGGTACGTATCCCGGCTGTTTTCCTGAACGTGTAGTTAATGATGGAAGCTTTGTAGTTGGACAGCGTTCGTGTCCTCCCAGATACTTGGGAAAAAGTTGAGTGAGTCAAGAGACACTACGAAGACTGAACGAACCGCGATTATCAGAGGCTTCCATCGAAATTCGCCCAAGCTCTTCACATAAGGTGGGTAGTCATCAAATGGGAACTTGCGGATTTCCACGAGACACTTCGCCTTCAAAATGAGCAGCTTT